AGCATTGTCATTCAGTCCATTAAGTCATTCACAGTATTTCCATCCAGTAAGACTCACTAGTATAGTCCAAGTTAAGAGTCCTTGCAATATCTTTATCAGCCGATAAAGATATCTCCTCCTCCTCCGGTGCCTCTCTCCAGAGGAACAAACGCTGGATATTCAGCAAGAAGTTCAAACAGTAGAACAGTAGAATTACGCAGTAAATCAGCAAACAGTAGCAAACAAGAACAGTTCAGTCACAGGCACTCACAATTAGTCGCAGTAAGACACAGTTAGTAGCAGTAAGATTTTCCAGCTTCTAATGCTTCCTTATATTGTAACTTCTAACCGCACCCTTAATCGGCTAATTGCCTGCAGCATTGTGCTTAAAGTGATAAGCACTTAAACCATGATATCTAAGTTTTATATATTTATTCACCCAAACCATATTTGGTATCAATGTTATACCTAACACTATGCTATGAAGAGCTTTATAGATGGCACCACCATGATTTGCACCCGGAAGCCTACTAGTAAGCAGTGCAGAGCCAATATTATCTGAAGTAATTAAATGGGCATACCAAGAGCCTGAAGTATCACATGGGCATACCAAGGCATCATCATCTGTAGCTTCCAGATGGTCTTCAAGAGCAGCCCCTAGTATAGTGCACTGCAATAATCCAAACCTAAGATAACCAAAGCACAAGCAACTGTCTTAAGAGCCTCTCAGTCCAGATGTGAGTATAATTGGTGCACCAATTGAAACGGTGCAAAAACCAACATGGCCCCAGCTGCCATCTTCTCAAGCAGGAACTGTAAGTCCAAAAGATCCCTAGGTGAAACCCCAGCCCCAGACAGCATAGTACAATCCCATTTGGAACTAAAGATGGAATATCTCTAGATCAGGGTGATCCAAATAAACTCTTAAATCAAAAGAGTTGTTTTAGTCTTCGTTTTTTTAAATGCAGTTCATTTAAATGCACTATAGCTATAAGACAGAACAAAATGCAGAGCAGACCAAAGCTTAAGCAACCAACCTTAGCAGAATTATCGACACAAACAACAATGTACGGTAGTCCTCAAAATACATCCATTCACTGAGTGACCATTTAAAGTAACAATGGCACTGAAAAAAGTGACTTATGACCATTTTTCACATGACCATTGCAGCATCCCTGTGGTCACGTGATTCAGACACTTGGCAACTGACATATGACTGTTGCAGTGTCCTGAGGTCATGTGATCCGCTTTTGTGACCTTCTGGCAAGGAAAGTCAATGGGGAAGCCAGATTCACTTAACCACGTTACTAGCTTAACGATTGCAGTGATTCACTTAACAACTGTGGCAAGGTAGGTCATAAAACAGGGCAAAATTCACTTAATTAGTAACTTGCTTAGCAACAAATATTTTTGGCTCAATTGTGGTTATAAGTTGAGGGCTACCTAAATGGGACAACTTGCAGTGACTAGGGCCATCTTGCTGTAGATGGCCAACTCGCTGCAGCCATCTCGTGGCCAATTCACCACAGCCATCTTGTGATAGCCGACTTGCCACGGCCAACTCACCCCAAGAAAACTCACCACCAGACAACTCATTGCAGGACAATCCACATGGGGTAACTCCATGCAATAAATATTATCTGTCAGTTTCTTTGACATTATTTCCATTGACAAAAGTGGAAAATAATGAATTGATGTTCAAAACATTCAGCATTGCCCATTTTAAGATTGGAAGGTTTATGGACAAGTTTTTGTGAATCCTCATAGTGATGCATTGACTGCTTTACCAGCCTTTTTAGAAAAATGCATTTTTTAAAAATGATTTTTTTCCCCCAGCTTTGCAAAATGAATGTTAAAACTAAAGAGACATGGGTATGGCAAGAACCAGATACATATCCCTCTGAACCAATCTTTGTTCCTCAACCAGAAGCTATAGAAGAGGATGATGGTAATGTTATGACTTTTTGATTAAATTTTAGAAAAGGGCTTTGTCCAAATTTGGCACTATACATATGAAAAGGACTTAATATCTTAATTTATACCCACTATTTCCTGGGGGAATAATGCAACAATTAGTATGTTTCTGAATTACTGTATTTTCAAACCTACTATCCATTATAAAAGTTTTGTGCTTCTTAAGTAATTTGCATTTATTTTGATACAGGTATTATCCTGAGCATAGTCATCAGTCCTGGCTGCGGACCAAAGCCTGCCTACCTTTTGATCCTGAATGCAAAGAATATGAGTGAGGTTGCCAGAGCACAAGTGGACATAAATATCCCAGTTACTTTCCATGGACTCTTCAAAAAAGCATGATGTCTGTCTTGAATACACCACCATCTTTCTTTTTAATACAATGTGCAGAACAACATAAAGCATTCTTCTAATTACCTGCCAGTGACTTGCAAAATTAGTTAACATTAACCATTTCCTGTACTGAGGCCCAATTTTAATATTTTAATACTTTAAAAAGTATCCATTTTTAAGAATGCTTTCATGACTGTATCATAAATAAGGATAATTAAAAGTTGTTAGTACTGTAGATGCTGATGAACAGCATCAGCATTATAGTCTCAGTAAACTTCAGATAAACATTTACAATTTAAAACTGTTAAAATTGTTCGGTAATAGAACATGGGTGAAACACAACAACCTTGAACTCTGGCAGATTAAGTAGTGAATAGAAATAAGTATTTGGCAAAATATTAGTTTGGAAACAACTGTAGATTTCTTATAGTTTTAATATTTGAAAAATTATTTTTAAAAATTGAAATGAAATCATTCGTCTTTGCCACTTATCAGAGAAAATGATAGTTTGAATTTGATCTCTCTGATACCTTAAATATCTTTATTTTACAAATGATTTGTCTAATAAACATAATGTAAAATATGAACATTTTTTAAAAATATTCATAGCTTCTCATCTTCGACTGTACTACAGGTAGTCCTTGACAGTTCATTTAGTGATGGTTCAAAGTTACAGCACTGAAAAAAGTGACATGACCATTTTTCACACTTACCATTGCAGCATCCCCATAGTCACATGATCAAAATTCAGATGCTTGGCAACTGACTCATATTTATTACGGTTTCAGTGTCCTGTGGTCATGTGATCACCTTCTGTGACCTTCTGACAAGCGAAGTCAATAGGGAAGCCAGATTAACTTACAACCTTCTTACTACTTAATAACTGCAGTGATTCACTTAACAACTGTGGTAAGAAGAGTCTTAAAATAGGGCAAAATTCACTAAATAAATGTTTCACTTAGCAACAGATATGTTGGGCTCTACTGTGGTCATAATTCGAGGGCTACCTGTATTTGTATCTTTAGATTTCAATAGAATAGAATTCTTTATTGGCCAAGTGTGATTGGACACACAAGGAATTAGTCTTGTTGCAAATGTGTGCATAAAAGATACATTCGTCAAGAGTCAAGAATCATAAGTTACAACACTTAATGATAGTCATAGGGTACAGTAAGCAATCAAATACTAGGAAACAGTCAATATAAATCATAAGGTTACAAGCAACAAAGTTATAGTCATATAATCACAAGTGGGAGGGATGGGTGATAAGGACTGATGAGATTAATAGTAGCGCAGACTTTGTAAACAGTTGAACAGTGTTGAGGGAATTATTTATTTAGCAGCGTGATGGCTTTCAGGAAAAAACCGTTCTTGTGTCTAGTTGTTCTGGTGTGCAATGCTCTATAGCATCATTTTGAGGGAAGGAGTTGAAACACTTTATGTCCAGGTCTATAAATATGTTCACCGCCCTCTTTTTGACTCATGCAGTATACAGGTCCCCAATTGAAGGCAGGTGGGTAGTAATTTTTTTTTTTTTTTTTGCAGTCCTAATTATCCTCTGAAGTCTGTGTCTGTCCTGTTGGGTTGCAGAACCAAACCAGACAGTTATAGAGGTGCAGATGACAGACTCAATAATTCCTCTGTATAATTGTATCAGCAGCTCCTTGGGCAGTTTGAGCTTTCTGAGTTGGCGCAGAAAGAACATTCTTTGTTGTGCTTTTTTTATGACATTTTTGATGTTAGGTATCCATTTTACGTCTTGTGATATGATAGAACCTAGAAATGTGAAGGTCTCTACTGATACTGTGTTGTCTAGTATTGTAAGAGGTGGTAGTATGGGAGGGTTTCTTCTAAAGTCTTCCACCATTTCTACGGTTTTGATTGTGTTCAGTTCCAGACTGTTCTGGTTACACCATGAGGCAAGTTGTACAACCTCCCATGTTTATGTGCATTCGTCGTTGTCTCGAATGAGACCAATCACTGTTGTATCATCTGCAAACTTCAGTATTTTAACAGATAAGATTGTTTGAGATGCAGTCATTGGTATATAGGGAGAAGTGGAGAAAGCACCCAGCCTTGGGGGGGGGGGCTGTGCTAATTGTACAGGTATCAGACGTGATTCTGCCTAGCTTCACCTGCTGCTTCCTGTCTGTTAGGAAGCTTATGATCCACTTACAAGTGTGTTCACTAGTTGGTTTAATTTACTTAGAAGTGTGTCTGGAATGATGGTATTGAATGCTGAACTAAAGTCTACAAAGAGGACCCTTGCGTAGGTATTTGGAGATTCAGGGTGTTGTAGGATGTAGTGCAGAGCCATATTAACAGCATCATCTGTTGATCTATTTGCTCGGTATGCAAACTGCGTGGGATCTAACAGCGGATCCGTGATGGTTTTCAGGTGGGACAGTACTAGCCTTTCAAAGGTTTTCATAACTACAGATGTTAGAGCAACTGGTCTGTAATCATTCAGTTCCCTCATGGAGGACTTCTTTGGCACTGGGATGATAGTAGAGCATTTCAACATTTATATATTCATAGAATATATTCACAGTATGTTCTGTATAAACTCTGGGAAGTGAAAATCTTTATAGCTAGAAGAAGGGTTTTGATATCAGTTGGTGAAAAGATACAAAAAGATCCCTTAAAAATTATATTGCTCTACTTCTGGCATATATATATATATATATAAACTCCTAGATTAATCTGTTAAAAGGATTGAAGTGCAGAATACTAGTTTTTGGCATTTTTGAAGTTTTTTCAAAGTTGCTTTGAATCTTTGAAACCTTTTTAAAAAAACTATAATTTCTTGATTATATAAATTCTACATAATAGTGTTATAACACTGGAGTTACATTGGGAAGTAAAAAGTACATTTTGAAAAAGTCAGTAGCTTTTCTATATTGTTGCCAAGATCACAGATGGATATATCACATTGGGCAGAGGATTGACGAGTGTCTGCACTTTTACCTATAACATACATAGATAAGAAAAACACATGATTAAATGGCAACATGAATAGTTGTTACATCAAGGTACTTTTTATATGGTGATGCCATAATGATATTTTACTGACAACTTTAATATATTATTATTTGACATCAGCCCAATCTGATATTCAAACTCAGTTATTTATAGCCAATTTACTTGCTTACATTCTCATGATAGGAAAAGAAGATTGTTGCAAGGGCATTATCCGGTATCTTTGTTGCTTCATAATTCTTAAACATTGTCCAATAACCTGTCAAATGATAAAATTAGTATCAGTGATAATAAGTTGAATTCAGATCAGGAGAGAAAGAGTAGGATGATACAGAGGTTTTCATGTGCATTATCAAAGCCATGTGCCAATGAGAAAGAATGGATAAGTCAGGAAAGAGACAATATAGGACATATTGAAATTAGTGAAAAATACTGCATTTTAATCACAGATTCTCTTATATATTTAGTTTAGTTTACTCTACTGTCATTCCACCTTGTATAACAAAATTAAATACCATCTTCACTGTACATTATGACTATGGAAATAAACACAAACACACACCCTTCACATTCTATATATTGAATTAAAAACCTGATATTGCATTAATATTGCACTATACAGTAGAATTCAATAGAGTTACTGCCCTGGGATAGAAGTGGCTTTTCAGCCTATTTGTCTTTGTTTTTATTATCTGTATCATCTGCCAGATGGTAATAGTTTAAAAGTAAAAGGGTGCCCAAGATGAGATGGATTTTGAACCTTCTTAAGGCAGCGGGAGCTATAAAGCTTTTCCAAAGGGGGGAGAGGGCAACCAATGATATTCTGGGCAACGACATTAAACCTCTGGAGTGCTGTCCTATCTGCCACTGTGCAATTGGCAAACATATTAATATTTAATACATATTAATATGAAAAGAGCATATAAATTTCTCAGTGATCAATACCAGTAGCACAAACATTAGACATATGAAATTGAATGCATGATAGTTATTTGGATGATAAGTATACGTTTGCTATTATTTATAGAGGAAAACACATTTATTCATTTTTTTTAATAGGAACCAAATCTATTTTGACAGGATTTTAAGATCATATGAAATTAAGATAATCCTGTAATTCTGTAATCCTATTAATGTCTTAAAGAATCTTTATCCCAAAATTCAGGTATTTCAAACAACTGTTGGTTTGTACAAATAGAACAATCTTAAGACAATTTTTGTCTAGGGGTTTTACATTCCTGATTGCTGCATTCTCTGAAACTCTCGTGTTTCTCATCATGACACCAAATGAGCCATATTTTCTTCATAGAAAAAATACCCACTACATTTTAATATTGCATAAACAAATGGCAATATCTTCTGAAAATATTCCACTACAAAAATGTATTGCATTAAATGTAGTTTTAAAATAGAAGAAAAGCCAGGATGGATACATTATCTCCCTACTGATTCTATCAGCAATTATGCATAAGTATGCAATCTTAGCCCTATACCCATCTGAAATGTGCCTCTGACATTGTGGCCCAACTTTCCCCAACAACTGTTTCCATAAGAGAAGATTAAAGACAGGATGAAAATTGTCTAATACCACAGGTTTCTTGAGAACAGAAAGGAGCACTACTTCCTTAAGTGCTGGCAAGACTATTCTCTCCTTCAAGGATAATCCATCACCAGCTGGATCTAATGTGTTTTCTTTTGGAAAATCTTGATCAACTAGGAGGGACATGAATATAATACGTAGTTGGCTGTGCTTACAACCCCAAGGACCTTGTCTACCTTTTAAGTTCATATAACCAAGTCCATATAACTAACTTCCCAGCTCAAGTACCTTTAAGACTGTTACTTTAAGTCCAACTCAAAATGTAACCAAGTAACTTTAATAGATGCCTTAAATAAACTACGCATAGCCCTATGGATGTTTTACCAGTCCCTCCTTACCAAGGAGGGATTGAGTTATCCCAAACAGGATTGCTGACTATCTGCAGACATGGTAGGAAAACTATTTCTTTTTTTCACTTTTATTATTACAAAGTAATTCTTAACAAAGCATTACTTACTTTTTTTTTTGTTTTATTTGCTCTTTGGATACCTTGCTTTCCACTTTGCCTGATTGAACTTAAAGAATTTTATTGTTTTAAAAGAATGTTTCATTATAATCTTCATCATATGAAAGACTATTGCACATCTATCTCTTGTGATTTCACAATATTTTCAGAATTCCTGCTTGTCTGGGTTTGGAATAAGAAAATCCAAAAAGGACACTTATTTGTCTTTCCTTAGAACAGCAATGAAGGTACGTTGACAGAAGGAATAAATGCTCCAACTGGACAAACTAGGAATGTAAGGAGGTAGTCTGATTACTGGTAGTCTACTAATCTACTCTACAGTAGTCTACAGCAGCTTTGTTTTTTTAAATTGAGCAATCATTGGAAACTTTTTATCAACTGAGTAAAATCATCATCTCTACCAGGCTCATAACACTGGTTAACAATAAAATAAAGAAGGAAACGTAATATAATTTGGACCACAATTCAAACCACAATGCCTTCCGAAAGTGTAGGTATCCATTTCCAAACTTTCTACAGACACGGCCATAGGTGAGGTTATAAGAATTAACATAT